CATATAAAGCATCTAAACATTTTTGTCAAAGCAATCAAAGTAGCTGGGTTGGTAGTTTCTGCCAAAAAGATTAGTCTTTGTCAAACAAAAATACGATTTTTAGGACAATATTTTCCAAGGAAGAATAATCCCTATTGATAGAGCAATTGATTTAGCCAATAAATTCCCAATTGTGATCAAAGACAAAACTGAGCTCCAGAGATTTCTGGGTTGTCTCAATTATATTGCTGATTTTTATAAAGATTTAGCTATTGATGCTAAACCATTATTTCAAAGATCAAAAAAGAATCCTCTTAAATGGACGGAGGTGCATACTTCAGCTGTAAATAAAATAAAAATAAAGGCTAAAGAGTTACCATGTCTTACACTCTCTGACCCTACAGCTTTTAAAATAATTGAGTGTGATGCTTCAGAAAAAGGGTTGGGAGGAATATTAAAACAAAAAATTTCTAATACTGAACATTTGGTTCCTTTTACTTCCCGAGCCTGGAATATGACCCAACAAAATTACTCCACTGTTAAAAAAGAACTCCTTGCTATTGTCCACTGTGTTACTAAATTTCAGAGTGACTTACTCAATCAAAAATTCCTCATTCGAACCGATTGTAAGGCTGCAAAAGACATACTCCTTAAAGATGTCAAAAACCTTGTCTCCAAATAAATTTTTGCTCGATGGCAAGGTATTCTCTCTTCCTTCGAATTTGAGATTGAACATATTAAAGGCAATACTAATTACCTTTCTGATTTTTTAACTCATGAGTTTTTGCAGGGGGGACAGGAGGAGTTTTGAACAGTAAAGCTTTCTTTCCTTCGGACTTATGATCCATCTTTTTATCCTGAGGTTTATTCATCATATTTTCAATCCTGATAGTCATTCTTCCAATAGTTTGTAAACAGAGATTAGTATAATTATTTTGTTCAATTATATCCGCGATTGCATCTATTTTATAAGTATGATGATCACTGTTTTTTGGGGTAATTTTATAAGGTGAAGCTTTAGCCTCAGGTTTATCTTCTGATTTTCCTTTCATCTGAAGACTTTTTACGGGGGGATGAATGGAGTTCAATTCTTCCCCTTGCGTAGTATAAAAGGTTTGATACTGACTCTCAACAGTATTGAGATCAAACTCTGGAACTTCGATCTCTTTCTCTTTTAGGGTGTATCTTAACCAATCAAAGAATTTTATATTCTTTCTATGTTTTAATATAAATTTATTAAATTTTTTATGCAGAGCATCTAATAATTCTTGGGGAAATTCCACCAGATACTCGTCCTTTATTTTCTTATTTTCATTGGACAAAAAGTCCTGTTTGATCCCTTCTTTATCTATCTTAAACTTTTTTTCCTTTTGAAGGGTAAGAATATTAAAATCTAAGTCAGAAGGTGTTGGTTCTTTATCTGAGGAACTAGGTTCATATATTCTATATACTGGTTGTTGCACTTGACTATTAGTTCTAGTCAGTCCTTCAACGATTGGTCTCCTGTGAGTTTGCTCATGTTTTGACTGCGGAACAGAGGAAGTAGAGCATCTTGAAGGAACTCTAGAAGGGGTTTCAGAAATATTTATCCGGGTTCATCTATTCGAGTTGAATTGTATTTCTACATCCCCATCTGGATACTCTATTATTTGTTCCGGTTCTCTATTTATTGGGGTTCTAGACTGTTGGTTTTCACAGTGTAAGGACCACTTTTCAGGAAGTTTTATTTGTGACCAGGCCATAGACCTTGGTATTATGGTATTAGATTTTTCCATATCGGTCTGGAAAACACTGTTTGTCCTTATGTATCCATCTGGAGTGCGTTCGGACATAAAGTGTTCATCAATTTATAACAAATCCTATAGACTAGAGCAATATTTTGGGATCCTGTATCCATATCGAACCCTTGGGTTTTTATGTTTAAGGTAAGAACTTTTAGGAGGTTAGGATCCGTTAAGGCCACCGAATAATTGGGAAAGCAATTGAAGTATATAGGGCCATTACATAGACTTGATTTTACTATACCTAAGAGAGCATCAGATAATTTATTATGCCGTTCATCTCTGAGACAGAGATGAACAAAGTTATTTAAACTAGTTCGAGTGAGTGGCTTTATTGCAATTTGGACAAGTCCTATATGTAAATATTTGTAATTCTTATTCTTATGATCTTGTATCATTCTATTTGAGAGAAGTTGGAAACTATTTTGCTCACTAATAATAGAAATACTTTGTTCTACAGTTTTAATAGAAAAGCTTGTTTTAAATTCAAAAGTTCCTTTTTTATAAACATCTGTGGCTGGAACTTTAGGGATATTCCAATTGTGAATTTGTTTTTCTATATTATCTATAGTTATTTCTTCTCTGTTTCTTACGCGTAGTATACTATTAGAAGAATAGGTTGTTCTATTGGATAGAGCTCTAAGGAAATTTGCCATTTCAGATAATTGTTGATCACAGAGTCAGTCGGAAACAGTCCCTGTACCTTTCGCGGCTCTTCCTGGCATATCGGTAGTTCGGATCACGACGACTATTTGGTGTCAATCTGATATCGTTGTGGGAAATTTCTTTAGTCCCTAAACTCTAACACAGTTCTTAAACTACAGTTCACCACTGTAAGCTCTTGGCTCTGATACCAAAAGGCTCACATAAGCAAAATAACAACAAAAAACACTTATACTGAAGAAACTTTAAAAGGAAAGATAACAGTTTTGTAAAAATAAACACTTTTAGACAGAAAACACACAATGGAGTCGATATATTAATAATAATCCAATGAACATAAATAGCATGCCAAACTCTTATGTAGACAACTATTTTAAACTACATGAAGAAATATAGATAACTTACATATGACACTTGCAAAAACTGGAAAACAACTTCCACTCGTCTGGACAGTAGTTGGGTAACGAGTGCCAGTTACAATCACACATATAGCAAATCCTCTAATAGAAATGTCATTTGGTTGGTTGGATACACCACCAGATATACAATCGGGAGAGTAGACTTGCAGAGAGAGAGAGAGAGAAATAAAGAGAGTACAGTTGCAGAGAGCACTGAGGGGGAAAACTCCGAATATCTCAGATGAATGGCCTTCCTCCCCTTTTATAGCCTGCGGACTCCAAATCTTATTTTCAAGTCCGTTGGTGCTGGACAAGACCTTAAGGCGTTGCTGACATTGGATGGGACTAAAAGGTAGAAAAGGTTTCGGTGATAAGACCAACAGGTGTCGGTGATGCTGAGTGGGATCGAAAGGTGAAAGATTTGTCGATGAATAGGAAAAGGTGAGGGATGCTGTCCGTGAACAGGAAGATGCTGTCGGTGAATAGGAAAAGATGTTGTTGGCAGCTTTTACTATTTCGTCGGCAGTTTACTATTTTGTCGGCAGGACTCATGTGCTCCTGGTTGCAGTCGTTCCATCCTGTGTATTATGGTATCTTCTATTGTGATATTCCAAAGTCCATATCCTCGTTTTCTTGCTCATAGGATTCCTCATTTTGAGTTGACGTGGACATAGCTTCTTCTTCTTCATCAAATATTTGGAGTAGTTTCTTTTTGAGTTCTTCCCTAGTTGAAGTAGGGTTTTGTTGACGAAGCTTATTTATATAATCCGCCATTTTTACTTCTGTATCAGTGGGTGAAAATGGTACCTTTTTCATTCTTATCTTGTCAGGGTTTAGGGCTTTATTTTCGTACACATCCCACCATTTTATATATATTTATTTGCCTATTTCTGGGATATATTCCCAATTATTTGTATAATGATCTGTTATATGGTAAGACCATTTCATGATCCATGGTATTTGGTATAAAGCCATAAAATACATATGGAGATCTATTTTATCATTATTATTGTTATATTCTACAAACTTCCTTTGTGAAGCTTGAATATTAGGTGGCAATATTTCTATTCCAGATCCCCACAATTGAAAATATTGCAACATACTTTTTTATATACAAACATATGACATATCGCATATTGAGAATAAACTTGTTCAAAATTTCAAAATTCACCCCATACAAATTTTTTAAAATTTTAAAGTTTAATAGGCTATGTATTAGTAGTAGTCTCCAACTCTCCATATTTCATAATAACATGGACTCCAAGTCTCCAACTCTCCATATTTCATAATAACATGAACTCCAAGTCTCCAACTCTCCATATTTCATAATACCATGGACTCCAAGTCTCCAACTCTCCAAGTCTTCAACAAAAACTTACAAAAGCATAAGACCAAATGACAAAACAGTCCAAAAAGGAAAAAAGTCTAACATCCAAATGTCTAAAAGATTGAGGGCTTATGGAAGTGTTCTTTTAACTTTAGGGGGTTGAAAAGAACCCCTATAATGTATTTAAACTTTTTTGGGTTTAAAAGTACCCTTTTGCCCTTTTGGACATCTTTAAAAATAAAAAAAAACCACGTCCTTGGGCGCCTGCCTACGTGCTCACGTGGTCTGCCTAAGCGCTTGCCTAGACACCCGCCTGGCCGCCTGCCCAGGTACATCCACCCGGAAGGGGGCGCCCAGGTCTAGGTGTGCAGTTAGAGGTGTCTTGGGCACTTAGGCGCTGGGCGGACCTTTTTTTGAAACTTTGATAGGGATATTTATGGTATAAAACTTTTTGATTTATGAAGAGAAAAGAAGAATTTATCTTCTAAAAAAAGGACAAAGAGGAAGCTGGAATGGCAGTTGCAAATGATGTAAATTTTATCATGCTTGTAATGCTCTTCTTTTGAATGAAATCCACTTGGCCTAGTTGAATTGGTGACTACATATTCTACTGGTTGCAGTGTTTGTTATTTAGATTGATAATGGTAGCATTCATTGATGCCATCTTTTATGTTTTATATTGAAATCATCAGTCTCGGCAGAACTTGATTTAATACTTGTAATGTCTTATACATCGAACCTTCCGGTCTACTGTGAATTTTGAAACTATATTGGCCTTTGTCATGTTAATTCCATCACTTCCTGGTTCTTTCTTGAATTTTGTGACTAATATTGTTCCTCACATATCTGCAGATGGAAAGCATTTGTGAGAATACTGTGGCAGTAGGTAAAACAGAAAATCAATCACTGAAATATGTGCCAGTGATTCGTTCAGGGGAGTGGTCTGATATAGGCAGTCGGTTGTATATGGAAGACACTCATGTATGCATTGCAGATCTAGCTAAAAAGTTTGGATTTACTTTTCTTAATGGGGAGGCTGTCTCGTTCTATGGTGTAAGTCATTGAATTTTCTCATGCATCGAAGCATGCAAGTTCTGATTTCCTAGTATCATGAATGTCAAGTAACTGCCTTTTTCTAGTCAATTTTCACATATTGTTGAAGAGATTTCTGGTTATTTGGATAATGACTTGCTCATTGAAACTGTTTATCTGGGGTTTGGCTTCTGAGCTTAGTGGTTAGGATCAGTGGTCTAAAAAACGGATCGGTGGCCCGGATCGGGCACCCCAAAAACCCACCTGGATCGGTGAATCGGCGATCCGGATCGGGAATCGGCCGAATCGGTTGGATTAAGCTTTAAAAAAATCTAAAAAAATAATTAAAATTCATTATAAATGTTGTTTTTTAGGACTCCAATAAGAAATCGGGGTACTACATTATTAATTTTCATTTTTTCATCAATATGTGAATATTGAGATGTTTTTTCTCTGTGTGAACTTATTTTGACTATTAAATTTACATCACACAAAAGAGAAATCATAGAATTATCATGGATGAAATATATAATCATAGATGGACTATAATAAAGAATGGTTTTAATCGATAAAACATGGCCACCAAAATCTCGAATTGGTGGAGAACATTATATGCTGAAATTGAACTTGTTGGTTTACATTTTATAATTATTTTATTATACAAATAATAAAAAATCCATCCTCTTATTTTTTTACAATAAATATTTGTTGTATTACCTTTGATCTTTTTTTTTTGACAAAAACCTTTTATTTCTTATGACAATAACTTTTTATTTATTTTTTTACAAGAAATGCTTGTCGTATTACTTTTTCTTTTTTTTTTTTAACGAGAACTTTTTTTTTTCTTTTTACAAGAACCTTATATTTTTTTACAATAAACTTTTTTTTTTTTGACAAGAAAAAAAATTTTTGTTGTATTACCTTTTTTTTTTTTTTTACAGGAACTTTATATTTTTCTTACAAT